GTATAACAATCAAATGTTTTAGGCCAAATGGCTGACTTGCTACTCACAGAAACAGCCTGAGTGAGTAGCAAGTCAGCCATTTGGCCTAAAACATTTGATTGTTATACATGATGATTGATTGTTTTGGACAGATGGATGGACATCACAATGAACATAAACAGGATGGAGAGGGTAACTGTAGAAGTAAATGACAAAAAGGACCGATTTACTTTACGCTGGAAGAAGTGGATGGTTTATGTAAAGTCACACAGACCAGATCTAGACCTAGCAATTTCTGAATGATATATTGATTGTAACAAAAACTGCTTTCACTACCTTTATGTTATTGTTTATTTTGTGTTCCCTATTTTTTTTATTGTGTAAAAAAGGGCATTTAAATGGATATTTTACTAATAATTGAAGTGGATGTAAATGTTAAATGTGTTTGTAAATGTCAATATAAATGTATAAAAAATTCATAGATGAGACCTGTAGGTTCCCAAACCACCAACCCTGAGGAGCTTGCTCCAGAACTGAGCTGAATTCTGTGTTGAAGATGCAGACACTGCTGTTGTTGGCTTCGACTGTTGGGAGGAAAAACTGAACCCATCTCTTCAGTCTACTGCTGCCTTTACTCACCTTCCTGTTCATGTTTGGATTCATAATTATTTATTTTGTTAACAGGTTTATTTGTCTTTATTCCGATAAAAACCACACCTGGACCAGTCTTCATGACTGTCTGTGTCTCTTTCTTGTCCTCTCTAACTCCATCCAGTCTGTTGGGGCAGATGGCTGCTCTTCTTGAGGCTGGTTCTAGTTCTGCTGGAGGTTTCTTCTTGTTAAAAGGGAGCTTTTCCTTCCCACTGTCACCAGTATGCTACTCAGGATTGGATGTTGCAAACTGGAGATTCAAAGCAATCTGCTGGCTTCCTTAGACAATTTTGACTAATTGGCATTTTATAATTTATGTGAATGTTTTTGTTTAGTCCCCTTGGATGACTTCTGTTGTGAATTAGCTTCGTATAAATAAACTAAAATAAAAATATTGTTTATAAAGACATCAACTTGGATTCTTTATTCTGCCATACAACTGCAAAATAAAGGAATTTATTTAAAAAATAAATTCAAAGCTTTTGGAAAAGTGAAGTGAATTCCTTAGATAGAGAATTTTACTAATTGGCTTTTATGTATGTGAATGTTCCTGTAAAGTGCCCTGAGACAACTTTGTTGTGATTTGGCGCTATATAAATAAACTGAATTGAATTGAAAGTCTTCAGAAATCTTGGATTAATACCTGGGTCGTGTTTGTCTAAATAACCCGTCTTTGTTTTTACTGAGCTTCATAAATCTTCATCATGTCTCACAGGGTCTTCCTAATGACGACTTGTCCATTCAGAATGGCATCATTGTGACCAAAGCTGCTCGCTTCCCTCTTCTTATCGACCCACAGACACAAGGCAAAATTTGGATCAAGAACAAGGAGGCTCACAACGAGTTGCAGGTTTGGGATCGTTTTAATTTTCAGGACTTTTGTATAAATTCCTACAGAGTGGTCGAATGGGTTTTTGCATCATGCCGCAGATTTGTGAACGTATAACTTTTATAAGTCAATCTTTTCCAACTTTACAAGCTAACTTCTGTTCAGTTCTGTTCTCTGGGTGACATTGTGTCATAGAAACAGGAAAAAGTCCCAGATATTGTTTTTGTCTTGTGTCAGTGTCTTGTGTGCTCCTGGCTCTTCTGATTGCAGCACGGGCAGCACATTGAACAGAGAACATCTGCAGGCATTATGAGCTCAGCCAAGGTCACTACCCCCGTTAGTGACAATCTCTGAGCCGAGGGGAAGCATTCGGCAAACAAATTATTCCTGTCCTCAAGTCGCAGGTCTCAGGCTGCAGATTTCAACCCTCTCTGCATGCAGCATCATGAAACTGTCCATTTGGTTTTCTGAAATGAAGATTCCTAAAAACGGATTAGATTTGCACATCTGAATTTTCAAACACTGGTTAACATTTCAACATTTTTTTGCTCACTTTTTATTGAGCATTTACACCATTTTGATTCCAGTTAGAAAACATTAAAGGGGATTTTGTTTAATCACATAATTTAGATGTAATTTAGTTTTTTGATTTGACCTCAGATCACCTCACTGAACCATAAGTATTTCAAGAACCACCTTGAGGACAGTTTGTCTCTCGGTCGCCCGCTGCTGATCGAGGATGTGGGGGAGGAGTTGGATCCTACTCTTGACAATGTTCTGGAGAAGAACTTCATCAAAACTGGCTCCACCTACAAGGTAGGAGAACAACTCTGTGTTTCAGATTACATTACGTTTTTATGTCACTAACAAATCATTTCTTTATTTCTTTTACTTTGGTCTTTGATTTATGAACTCAGCACCACTACTCCATAATGAAAAATGATTTGTTTATACAAACTATGGTATTTTTGACTAATTTTCCTTTTAAGTGTTCATAGTTTTTATGGCTTAAATACATTAAATCATAGCTTAAGACAAATATACTTTTTATTGGCTGTGAATGTCTACAGAGCAGCTCAACCCTGCTTCTTTTCAGTTGTCTTTATTTGCTTATATCAAACATTGTAATTGTTTATATGCACATCACATACTGATGAGGTATAGTATATATTATTTTTATTGCATGTAATTAAGCTGTTAGTTTTAAAGTCATAGCATTCTTTTGTCAGATCAGAAACAAGAAGATTTTGATTTTATGGTGAATTAAACCAAGTTTTTCTAAGAGAATATATTCTGCTAATTTATTAATTATTCAAAGTAGTAATATTTAATAATTAATAATCAAACACGAAATTCTTGGATTTATTATCTAACCTCACACAAACATGTTTCTAATATAAAGTATATAAACAAATGCATTGTTATAGATTGCAGCCTAATTCTACAGAGTACTATTTTTTGGGTCAACTTAAATATTGATTAGAGAAAAAAATCCAGAAAAGTACAAAGTATTTAGTGTGTTTTGAACTTTTAAAAATAAATTACTCTTCCTTTTAGTTTATTGGATTTATCCAATGCTGAACAAGGATTTACTATGAGAAATTGCAGGTCAAGCTTTGGGTGTTTTTTTATTTATTTTACTTTATTTACCTATATGACGGCCCTGAATCAAGCTCTGGAACTGAATTTAAGGTATGACTGTATAGGTAAATTAGATAAATAATTAGTAAATTAGTCCATTTCTGTGAGCAAATTGCTCTGAATGATTCAAAAAGCATTTTCATTGCACACATGAATGTATTTTATTTATGTTTACAGTAAAGATACAAACTGTAATTTCCACAAAACTACAGTTTTGTTGTGTTTCATGCTGTGCTCTACAGCGCTGATATTTCACTATACAGTACATCATAACAAATTTATTTGTTAGTTTGCCATTGCATATCTTGTTTATGTCACTGTGATCAACATCACAATCAAATAGCATAAAGCTGTCAGAAAACGTGCACAAATAACACGGACAGACAGCCAGAGGTCCTTTAGCTTCAGAATATAAGACCTGATCATAAATCTGTGCTTCTCGTGTCTCACTGTTCTCTGAAAAAGCTTTGATTTCTATTAATATACTGGTGCCAGGAGGAAGTGAAGGTGTCCAGGAACAGACAAACAGATGGATAATTAAATTGTTCCAGCGCCACGAGTTATTAAATGTTGGTCAGAGCAAACGCAATCAAGCCATGCACGTGCACACATTTATACACACAAACATGCAGGTTTGTGAGCAGCTGTCCTCATTATCCTCTACCTGTATTATTAACACCTACTGAGATGTTCAATTACTGACACCTGCCTCAACACGGTTATGTTTTCCATTATCTTAGTGTTTAATAAAAGTGTTTAGATTAAAAAAAAAGGTATTTACATCCGTATAGAATGCTGTGTTGTTGTCTACTAGTTATAATGTCCCGTATGCGATGCTCTTGTTCCATTTTAAAACTGTTTTTGTGATGAAAGTTGATCTTTCAGCTTCTCCCTCTGCATTATGTCTGCAGGTTAAAGTTGGAGACAAAGAGGTGGATGTGATGAAGGGCTTCAGACTTTATATGACCACCAAGCTTCCTAACCCAGCTTACACTCCTGAGATCAGTGCTCGCTCCTCCATCATCGACTTCACCGTCACCATGAAAGGACTGGAGGACCAGCTGCTGGGCAGAGTCATCCTCACTGAAAAACAGGTCCAAATCAAATCAATGAACGTGTCATTTGGTGATCATTAATCAGCTTTGAACAGTAAGTTTAGGTTGCCGTATTGTCTCTAAAGAGCGGATGTACGTCTGTTTCTTGTTTTTAACACCTCTTCCTGCTCCGGGCCTAATTTTCTCTCAAACAAACTGGGTGTTGTAGAACTTATCAGCTTTTACACAAACAGCGTAAACCTTGAAACAAGGAGAACATGCGTCAAAACTAAATTTATGAACAAAAACAAACATCTCTAAAATGTCAGGAACTTGAGTCATACACATCTAGAGACAGTGTTGTAAATACAGAGGTGAAAAGAGCCGGTTCTCCTGAAAAGACCGGTGCTACCACACAGAGGCTATGTTATTTATGGACGGCCTAATGGATGATAATTTAATAAAAGATTCATGCAAAGTAAAAAGGATGGTTTGTTGAGTAAAGCAGGTGCTACATATGAGTAAATTCAAAATAAAAGAGCAGAAGCTTCCATCTTAGTTTGGTTTGGAGCTGACGAAGCTTTCAAAACACAACGGCAAGGCTTTTGGTGTTTTGATTTGTCATATTTTAATGTTATTTAATCAAAACAAGCACAAGAAAATACACTGAGCGAATCTGAACTAATTAGTTACATGATCTAAGTGGAAATATAATCCTCAGTCTTGGCTGTGTTTTTATTTTTTATTTTTGTAACTAGACCAATGAATCATACTTATGGGTTTAAATCTGGATATTAAGTCATATGTTCAAGTCTCTCCAATGAATCCTTTAGGATTAGCCAACTTTAGGATCTGCCCCCAAACATACAATAAAAGGAATATTTCATCCACTCAGGACCACAACAAAGGTTGTCACTAACACACATATTCCTATAAAACAACACAAAGCATTTTGTTTGTTTTCTATTTAATTATTTTAGCATCCAGTGCTGTGCAAACGTCTTCAACCACCCCTCCATTCTTTGTCCAGGAAAATGAAAAAGCTGATTTATTGAAAATAAAGGTTTTTGTTCTTTTCCTGCTCGACACAATTCATTAAGGTTCCATACTTTAGTCCATTCATCTTTGCTGCAATGACAGTGTGTTTGACCATAGTCATTATAAAAACTAAAGTTTTTGCAACATTGCTGCATCAAAATCTGAATGATTGTTTAGTTTTCTGCCTTTGATCCATTCTGAAACAGTGTCTCCAGGGCTTAATTTGAGCTGAATCCTGACGGAACAGGATCCGGAAACTCACTAATTTTGACAGGGTGTGCTCCAGTAACTGTTTGCTTGGGTCTGGTAACTCTTAGACTAACTAATAATAAAGTTATGAACAGATTTGACTGCCTTGAATGAATAAATATTAATTAATATATTGGACATTTCGTCTCAAAATAATTACACAAACACTCATTTTAAACATAACAGCCACGTGAGCTTCTTAATAGGACATAAGAGCGGCCCCTTCAGGTAAGCATTTCCACTTCTACCCTTAAAAAATCTCTGCCCCTAAAAGTACAGTCATGGGCAATTTAATTGAACACACAAAAATATAATTAAACTGCACAACTAAATTGCAAATCAATTTTACAGCTTAAGTGGGTCATTAATAAAATGTTGATTATTTATTAAAAATTCGAGAAAAATGTTTGATGGGTAATCATGTGACATATGTCACGTATCAAAACAACGACACCAATTTCTCTTGTAAATGAGTCCTTGAGGTTCAATGAGACTAACCTGTATAAATAAAGGTTAAATGAAACGTTTGTCAAAATATCTAAAAAAGTTAAATCTGGTCCTCTGGACATTCAAAAAAACCCAAAACAAAGCAAAACAACAAAAAATGTAGAAACGTTTCGTCTCTCGTCCGAGAGACTTCTTCAGTCTGAGGTGCTGTTTTCAGCTCAGTCTCTTAAATAGCACCTTCTCAAAGTGGATCAACCAGTTTTGCTGCTGACAACCAAAACCAGCTGATCACATGCTCAAGAAGGACCATCAGCCTAACAATGGATCATTAGCACACTGATGGCTGTTTACTATTCACAGAGGGCTGAGTGATACTAGCAATCATAGCATTGTAAGAGGGGGACAATTGAACACGTAGGCCTCCACCCCTGTTTAATGATGGACGGTTTCTTTTCACAAAGATGGCCTCCTTTACTCCTCTCTCAAACCATCGTTCCTCTCTATCCAGGATGTGCACATCTTCATCCCTGAAAGAGTGACCGCTGGCCTGGAGATGAGTGTAGACCACAGAGTCCTGGCCTGATGATGTTGATCTTCTGTGCTGGTCCATCCTTTTGGCCAGTGGCTGTTTAGTTTCCCCGATGTAAGACTGATCACAGCCCTCCTGACACTGAACAGCATACACAACATTACTCTGTTTGTGCCGGGGGACTGGATCTTTGGGATGAACCAGTCTTTGCCGTAATGTATTTTGGGGTTTAAAAGCCACTGGGACGTTATGTTTAGAAAATAAACGTCTCAGTTTCTCTGATACTTCCTCAACATGTGGATTGACCACTGGTCTGGGTCTGGGTTCCTCCTTTTCACCTGTTGGCTGACTGGAGTCCTGTTTGGGTTTCTTCTCTGCTTTTAGGAAGGCCCAGTTTGTAATGATTGCGGTGTACCCAGAATGAAAGACCAGAACTGAACAGAGACCAGGACTCAGAGAATAGTTAAAAGTGTTTATTTACAGGTTGGTGATATATACAATATGAATGAGGGGAACGGGAACACCTGGAG